GTGTGTGTGTGTGTGTGTGTGTATGTGTGTGTGTGTATGTATGTATGTGTGTGTGTGTGTATGTGTGTGTGTGTATGTATGTATGTATGTGTATGTATGTATGTATGTGTATGTATGTATGTATGTATGTGTGTGTATATGTATGAACCGTTTAGCTGATGTTCCCCAAAATTAATATTCCCCATTCTTTTTGGGTAATGTCACTACCCCCTGGAACATGAAATCAATACTTCAATTTTGGGGGGTACTTCACATGAAGCCCTTCGGACATTTTCAAAATTTTTAAAACATTAGCTCCAATTTCTTTGAATAAACTTTTTTGTTGAATAGCAATAAGGGCATTTAAGAGATTTGTGCAGATCTCATTTTCGATAAAATTCTTGATTTTTTACAAATTAAAGTTTTTTGGAGTCTTCCTAGAACTATACTACTGAAGATGGAGATTTTCTCCTAAACGAGATTTGTTCCATAAAAACAAATATTGAAATAAGGCCATGTTCAACTTTTCATAAATACGTGTCGTTTTCGTGTAATTTTGAACGAAATATGATTTTTTAGTTTTTTTTCGCTAAAACCGTTCCAATTTTATAAGAAAATGTTTCGACGTATGTAATAAGGCATGGAAAAAATATTGTACTACTCCCATTTTGGGGTACTGCTCGTCTTTTTTCGAAAATTGCAAAAATAAATTTCAAAACTACAAAATTAAAGATAAATTTTTTTGTCTATTGTACAAAATGAGGGTCATGTTTTTTTTTTGAAAACTCGAGTAGTTTTTACGTAATTTCTGCTTGAAATTAAAGAAATATGTACAGGTGTCCCAGCAACTATGGGCCTCGAGAAAAATTGAATGAATGATATGAAAATCATTAACGTAATTTTAATTATAATTTATTATTGAAAATGCCAATATTAATTCTATTTTTGCGTTTTTGCACTTTTACTTTACTTAATTGTACAATCTGTATTCTCAATGTATTGATGTACGAGTAAGCGTGCATAAAGTTGACCGAAGTAATATCTGACGTCCGTATAATGGCTTTCATCGTTCCTTCATAACGGAGGCAAATAATTCTTATTTAGCTTTGTTATTTAGGCCATCATTCATAAAATTACAATATTGCCCAGTTTAAGATCTTATGCAATTGTGAAGTGCTGGCAAGACTACGTAGAAACTGTATATCTAGGTGGTGTTGGCGCAAAGCAATGACAGGAGAGGATGGTTTTATCAAAAATTTATCTTTAAATAAGGTGTTTTTTTTTTAAATATGAATATTTTTGGGCTAATTTGGAGACACAAATGCTAATATATTTTTTTATTTTTTCTTACTTTTACTTTTTACTCTATTCTACAATTTGTATTCTCAGTGAATAGATGTATTTTTTTCAAGCAATCCGCAAAGTTTAATTGAAATTTGAGCAACAATGCCGCAATCTACATTTGAGAAGCTCATTGTTGGTGAACGTAGAGATGATGGCGGTGATACGAAATAGCCGTTTTATTTAGTCGAACTTGTGTTTCCAAATGAACCTTTTCGAAACCTACTTGACAATCCATATTTGTTGTCCGTGTTACGAGGTGTACGAGAACACTCATTTTCACTGAACGAGAGGTACCTACGTATATTTCAGCATGTGTGTGATGAACTATGACTGATCGCTGAAAAATTGTTTAAAAACTATTTGAAATCTGAATACAAATGGAAATAAGCGTTTTTGCCAAGAATTGGTATTTTTCGCCACACGAATGCACATATTTTAGACAACGCTGCGCTGGCAACAATGCGTTGCTCGCTTCTGTATAATATTCTGCGTACACTATAAGTCAAATATATTCCTTTTTGTTTCATTTGTCAAATTAGTAATGATTGTTGTTCCTTCCTATCAAAATTAATGGAGACATACAACCAAGGCACTTTGCTTGAATTGTTTGAATTGGACGTTTTCAAGTAATAGATGAGGTGTTAGTAAAGCAGAAAATGCAATATTTCAATATTACATTTTACATGTGTGTTTCATGTTATTGTTTCCCAAAACGCGAGAAAGTATGTGCTGTTGTAGCACTGCTATTTTTTATTAAATATCCAGTAGTCACGCGGGGTATTTAAAAAATAGTCTATGCTTTTTTCTTTTATTTCTCAGAGATCGTGTATATTCATAAAAATGTGTCTTTTAAAAAATGTTTTTGCTTGAGCGTTTCTGAAGTGCATTTTTAAGCAAATATTAACCAAAACTTTTGCATTTTCGAGAAAATTCACAACAAATTTTTAAAGTAGTTGAACTCACAAATTTAATACGAATAATGTATAAAATTAGTTTGTAATTGAATGTTAAAGCGTAAAATATTTTTTTTTAAATTACATTTGCTTTTTTTTAAGAATACATTGTCTTGTTTTCTATCAATTTAGCACTAATTGTTCTAGAAATTGAAGAAGAAATTGGAGCCATTTTCGAGAATATGGCGTTTGGGCGTTTTAAAAATGCGGAATTTCGAGTTTATTTCCACAGAAAACTGTTTGAGTTTTCGAGAAAATTACAAGTAGAGCTGGAAAATGTATACAAACGTCTGGCCCTGAAACATGCCTGCAAATATGCCAAAAAAATGTTGAAATATGCACAATAAATGTTAAGATACGCGAGGGAGGTATTACCAAGCAAGGTGAATCTCAAGAGGCCAAGTGAAAGTGTGAGGCGTGAAGTCCTGGCGATAAACCTATGGTAACCAAATGGGAGCAGATATTACTTCGGCGGCGTTGACCGTCAGTAGTGTGAAACGCATTAAACGAACATATTTGGAGCAATAATTCTTTTACTTGGTAATTATCATTTTAGTGTTATTTTATACAAAAAGTCGAAAAATATGGGAAAATATTCATTTATGTCCCAAAAGGCACTAAATACGAAAAATATTAATTATATACAAATTATTTCGTCCTTTATTTTCAATATTTTGCAATGAAATACTCATTTTTGAAGCTACAGGCAGACCATAGTAAAAAAAAAAAAGTTATTGCGAGAACTTCCTAACTCTAATTAAAAGGCATTTAAAGTATGAAATCGATGTGAATGAATGTCAAAAACGCTACAATTGTATAATATCTGAAAAACAAAAGAATAGAGATAAATGAAGTGTATGTTGCAATACATTAGCACTATTCTTACCAAATGTCTGAAGAGAAAAATTGGAGCCTTTTTATAAGAATTTTTTTTGATATTTTTTATATCCGTCAAATCCATTTTGAGAAAATTTTGAAAATGTCCAAGAGGCTTTATGTAAAGTAGCCCCAAATTTTGAAGAATGTTTCACAAATTGGCAGATTTTGAGCGGGACCAGATCGAGTAAGGAATATTAATTTGGGGAGAAAAATATAAATAGTTTACACTCTGGTGATGTGCGCAGACTGACGTTTTGAAAAAAGACACTAATTTCAAATTGAAGGGGCCACTAGATTAGCCACATTGATTTTTTAATATCAATTTCGGAGAAAATCGAATGAACTGCTTAGCAGCTAGCGTTGTTCGGACAGAGGGACAGACAGAAACGGATAGATGTTGTGCCGTCAATCAATTTTTCGGTATCAAGGGCACGTAAAACATGAATTGTGGCTACACCATGGGTTAGAGGATTTTTTCTAAATGTATCATTTGGATTCATCTCCTTTTTAGCTGGCAGGGCCTGTAGAAAGAGTTTTGCCGATATGCGCGGTCTTCTCGCGCCGCGTTACGCGACATTGCCTCCGCTGCGGAAGCGCAGAAACTTGAATTTTGATATTTTCTTCATATTTCACATACTTAACCTAATAATGCGCAAAATACTAAAATGTTCAATAAAAATTACATAACTTTAATGAGAGAACTGATTGTGGAAAACAGACTTCATTTGAAGGAAATACCCCTATCTTCAATATTGTAGTTGTAGGAAGACACCTAAAAAAATTAAAACGTTTTTAATTTTCGAACGTTCATAGGACGGACAGACGGACGTTTTGCTGTAAACAAATGATTAGGTATCAAAGACCCACAAATCGCGGATTCTGACCCCACAACGTGTTAGACCAAATAAATTCCTATATGCCACCCTCAAGACACTCTTGGTATTGTCGAACTCGCTCGCGACTGAAAAATCAGCTGACAGGCAGTAATCTACCAAAGAACGACTGACCATAATGACATGTTCAAATCGGACCGGCACACACAAGATCAAATTAACCATAATTGTGAAAACTATGAAACGAGATATTTTGATACAGAAACCATATTTATTCCATGTAACAATTATAACAACAAAAAAGGTGGTAAAATTATGCCATTTATCGCTAATTGTTTTTCTAAGTTTCCGTGCCATTTGCAACGAAATTTTAGGTTAGAAAATGGATATCTATAAGTTACTGCTTAATTTTGTCCCTACGTCACACCTCTCAGTATGTATCTTCGAAACAAAGGCTGGCCAAATTTTTGTCTACTATTTACTTCCTAAGGTTGCTTCCTTAGTACAACCAATGGATGAAAGCGTGATTTCCTGTTTGAAACGAAGGAATTTCTCTTCTTTTCAAGAAATTCGTTTTAACCTCGTTAAAGAACTGAAAATGTAGACCAAAAATGCCATTTTTCGTAATGTGTTGCTTAGAAAAGCGTACGTGCACGCACGTTAAGACTTCCTTGGGCGAGTATCTTACATTAACGCTGTCAAGACGAAAGCGTAGAGGAGGGAGATACAGATTTCACTGACCTGGACCTCTCATCTGATTGAGGTTTTTTGTAAATCGCGCATGCATAAAAACAATTTTAAACACACACTATCCTCTCAGAGCTCTCCAAAACCATTGAAATCACGACCTCTTGTCATTCGACCTATTCCAAATTGTTTCCTCTGTACAACGTATTGTTGAGGGAAAGGGAGAAAAAAGTGGCATTTTGAGCTGAAAATCCGTCGTCCGTAAAGATCGATTTTCACGGACATGTTTTTAAAATTTTCAAACGTACAAAACAGTGACGGACCAGACGGGAGCAATTTCTACAAATCATGACGCATGCTTAATTTTTTGGTACAGATTTCAATCAGTTTGATTTGACTACCGCGTTTCCGGCGTCACTTTTCTGACTTTTCTCGGGTTTGGTATGCGTGTGGTGCAATTTGTTCCTATTGTGGTTTTGCAGTTTTGAGAAATTTTGTAATATTGCTTGCTCAGAACCAGGTTGTTCTAACTCTATTTTTGTATATATTTCAGGAGAGGGCTTTGAAGTTTCGTTACTAAAAAATCTTTTCGTTATTCTGTCTTGTTAATATGTCTGCAAGACCCAACCAGAGGAATTGAAAGGGCGTAGGTCGTTCAGTAATTAACAGCCGCCGACCGCTAAGAAACCACGTAATCTTCAAACTATTTAATTTCGAAAACAAATGACAAACGACACATTTAAACGTAAATATCACATACAAAAGTAATTTACAATAGTTCAGTTTATTTATTCTTATTTAACTTACAATTTCTCTTTGTAATAATTATTTAATATTAAATGAAATTATTATTACTTATTTTTAGTCCTTCATAAGAGATTGAAGGTGCTAACGTCGATGTATTTGACTCGGTTGACATTGATGCGATCTTGTCTGTGATGAACGTTTCAAAATTTTAATTATTTTGGATGCCGATTGTTCAATAAATTTTAGTTGTCAAATCGTTGAATCTTTAGCGCTTTTTGCGGTGTCGGTAGGAATTTTTTTCGTAACGATTACGTTTAGGTAACGAAATAAGCGTGTAAAACGCTCCATTTTGTTCATTTAGTTTAGATCCGGAAACAGTACCGCGTAGATACGAACGCCCCTTGGACATCGTTTTCTGTACAGGAAAATGTTGAAAAAATGACTGTAAAACTGACTTGGGTGGCAGGCGGCTCCGCAGACGCAGGCGGAGGGGTTGGCGGGCGAGAGCCTTCGGGAGCTGCGGAGCGCGCATCTCCATACGGCGCTGCTGCTTTTTGCGCCGCCCCACGCCCCACGCCCCGCGCCCAGCGCCCGCCGCCCCGCCCGCCCGCCCGCCCCGCCCCCGCCCCGCCCGCCCCGCCCGGCACGCCCCCGCCCCCCGCGCACCCGCCCCGCCCCCCGCCCCGCCCTCGCCCGCGCCCCGTTCCGCGCTGCGCCACTCTCCGACTCTCCGCACCCCTCATCCGCACACCTCTCCGGCCGCTGCACCGCCCGGCCCGCCCCGCCCCGCCACGCCCCTCTCCGCGGTGAAGGCCAAGGGCGCCGGCTTTTTGAGCGCCACCGCCAGCCCTGCTCGCACAACCTCACCTGCGTCTCGGAGCTTCCTGGACTCGTGAATCATTGCCTCGCGCCTATGCACTCGTCTGCGCGTTTGCTGCCCGCGGCTGCTCCACTTTGGGTGCAGGTCTTTGCGTTTTGGGAACCGCCGCCATTTTGTTTCTCAACATGACGACGCGACGGCCCGCTTTTGAAATGAATGAATGAATGAATGAATGAATGCATTGTTTGATGCCTTCTCTGCGTGTCACGTGTAGGTCAACGTTGGTGCTGCGATGCGGTTGCTGGGGCATGACTTGTTTGCAATGTGTCTGGTACGCCGGGTCGTCAACGAAGAAAAAAAGACGGTGCATGTCGATATCGATTCATAAACAAGAGGCAGTTTCCGGTTTGAAAATGTTACTGAGAATCATTTTTGAAAAAAGTTGTCGGGATAAAGCGTCATATCCTCACTCCATTGGAAATGACGCTTTGACCTTGGCCTTGACTGAAGCCTCGTATCTTCCCTTCGAACACAGCACATCTCGTATTTAACGTGCTGAAAAAGGACACCAATGTCACGTCATGACCTCTAACGTGACGCGTCGTCATCAAAAGAGGGTGTTAAAACGTCTTTATCCGCTTCAATTGTTCATTGTAAATCTCCCTCACTTTGGCCAGTGCATCGGCTATTAAATCGCTCGCAGGCTACAATAGTGGCACAACAAAAAAAATACGAATTTTTAGTTAATAATTTCTCCAGAATTGCAGAAAAGTTTACCTTGTAGTGGGAACAGCAGACTCTCTCACAGTTCAGTATTTAAATGGTGCGTGCGCGCGCGCGCGCGCCAGAACTATGCATTTCAATACACCGCAAAAACTTCAAACTCATTTATCTTCAACACCTGATTTTTTTGAGTTACGTCAAAATTGTAGCCTACGAACCATATTACCTTATAAATGATATTTCAGAGTTAAGTTTAATAATGTTAAAAAGAATTAGAGAATAATTGTAATGAAACACTATCCGTGACTCATTTTCAGTACGTTTGCGCCCTTATCCTCCGTAAATGCGACTCGTACAGTAATGTTGTGGCCTTTAGTGCAGCCTTACCACTTCTCAGCCTGAAAGTGCAGCCAGTGGCCACCCGTTTAACACGAGTGCGCTTTCGTCAGCCGCCTTCGCAGGGGGCAGTCCTCCTACAGTCGCGCCTCGGGCTCTTAGATCCAGAGTATAATGGCGACGGCTGCTTTGAATGTCTGCGGTTCACCGTCGTCTACTTCTCGGAAACACCCTGCACAACTATTCAAGACTTGCCACTGCAAACTCCTTGAGGTTAAATAAGAATTTGAAGTCGCTAGTGATGTTTAAAGTTGGCGGATAAACGTCTGTTACGGCAAATCAGTAAATATATACCTTAGAAAAGAACTGAAGCCTACCTCTAGCACTTATGACCACTCATTAAAACCGAGAAATTGTAAGCTGGGGTTTCGACCCCGTGTAGACGATATAGATATTTTCGCCATATGGTTGTGAGTGATTGGCTTTTAAGACCATGACTCTCATTTGATGTATTATGTTATTGAAATTTTACCTCTGTATCATCATACCGTCCCTTTACCATCATCCGTACTGTAGAGAAAGGAAACTTTTACTATTGTCGTCAACAGAAGGAACGACAAAAGAGCAAAATTATTCTTCCTTCTCAGTGCTTGAAAATGAATAATGCTTCTCATCATCCTTATCGACAGAAGTATTTTTTATTTACTTCATTAATTTCAAATAAAAAACAATATAATTTCAACTTTATAAAACTTTATATAATCATCGTAACTTTTGGAATGAATTTCACGATATATCTTTAACAAAATCAGCCAGACTTTTTTCAAAAAGTTTTATCTTCATCCTTATTTGCTATAAAAATAACGATAAAATTTGTGAATTATACAATTTACACAAGATTTTAATTGCTAACAGAAAATTAAGGTTTCATGGCCGTTCCAAACCGGTCTTTGTCAATTTGCATCGTTCGTTATTACGTGCCAGCACGAAAATCATTGTGAAATGGTTCAGGTAAATGCCGTATTTCCTCAATCAAATTAAAATTTGCTTTTCCTTAACATTCCTGTGATAATTTTCAGTTACAGTCATCCTCATTTAAATTCATAGAACTTCTTTTTTCATAATTCTATTCTGCTGTAGGTATGGCGGAATACCTAATAAATGTTTATGCTTCGCTCGTGCACTTGAGCACCTCTTGACCATTGGATCGCTAGTAAGCCATTCAGGGCTGTATCCACAGGGAGGATGCAGCAAACTTCATGCCACCCCCTTCTTGGAATGAATTATTGATAGGGAAATTAAATCTGTCGTTGCAGAGAATGGAAAAGGCATTTGTCTGTGCGATTGACATCACTGCTACCATCAAATAGCGTACAGGGGAGGGAGAGCTAACAAGGAAAGTATTTTCTCTCACCAACGTCGATCGACTTAAAAGTGAGGACATTGCACTTTTCTATACGTTATTAATAAAAAATAATAACCGTTCAAATTTTATTTTCACAATATTTCAAGGCTTTAAAGAAGAAGAATGAAAAAGAAATGGTGTGCTCGAACCAGAAGGCTTCCGAAGAAAACTTCCGCTCCCCGCACAGAAGTCTGGCGACATTGGGGAATTAACAAAACACAAGGGCTAATATATCGTTTTGGTATCGTTGGATGTAAAATAACTGTTAGTTTGTGCCAAAAATATGATCAATATTCTAATATCACACATTAATAAACGATACTTATTATTAATCCTAGATGAAGTTTTATTTTTCGTTATTTACATGATTTATACTTATTTTAACCGTATTGTTCAAAAGGGCATATTAAAAATTGGATTTCTACTCCTTCTTTAAAGAAAACATTTTCTTGAACTATTTCATACTACTTCAGCTTACAAATGCTTATAAATAAAATTTCTACAACTCGTCCTTGAGCTTGTGTGTGCACGATTTAGCTCTGATGCACTTTAATCTCAAAATATAATTAAAAATTGATAATAAATACACATTTATGTACTGTACTGTGAAAAAAATATATTAATTATTGTACAGATTTATCTATTATTTCCCCATTTATAGTTTCCCAAGATGTGGAAAGAAGACAAGGGTCGATGATTAATGTGTGGATTTCTTAAGTGTTAAAGGGTAATATTGTTTATTTTCCAATTTTTAAAGATTTTCAACTTCGTGAAAATACATGTTGCACGGATATAATTTCGAATATGTAATATCATTAATAAAGTCATACATTACTGTCATAAAGATGTATTTTCTCAGTCAATGGGAGTTGGCCTGATAAAATAATTTCCTGGTAAGATGTTACCTTGTAACATTTTGAACATTTGTCGCCTATTTATTGTGAATGTTTCCTTATTTATTTATCCTTTCGATCTCTTGAAGTTTTTTTTTTTCATTTAATGTAAATGTTAAAATTAGATCTTTTCAACGAGCGTGGATGTTTCTAAATGATGTCCCCACTAGAAATGTAAATGTTAACACATTCGTTCAAACCACGTTCATAAAGTAATCTAAAGCTTCATTAACAGTATAAATGTCGCTTACCCTTGAAAGACAGCGAGGGAAATATGTGATGCAATGTAGAATTTACCCTAGTAAATCCTTATACCGAATCTCACAAACAATAAAGCTTCATCGCTTAAAAATACTCGTATCTACAAGATCTATTTTAATTCGTATAATGAAGCAACTTACTCACTAGATACCGACAGAAAATGTTCATTTGAGCATTTTTGTTGAACTATTTATTGGTGTTTAAATAGAAGCGAGAAATAATGAATTTACTGATGGGAAAACGGGAAACTGTGATAGCATGTGACCGCAACTTGTATCATAAAAAATATGAAATACAAATTGACAGTTGTGCTTTTGCCATGCAGAAGCTGACTTAATTTTTTCCTAAAAATCCATTGAGCATGTTGGTAATTAACCATCCTGGCGTTCTGAATCATTGTCTTGGAAGCCTATATTTTCGCTGTACCGCGCGACCTCTCCAGGTGGAAGTCTGGAAATGTGTCGCCTGCTCCGTTGCGATGAGAAATGAGTCCCCTGAGCGGCGAGGGCTCGCCGTCCCCGCGCGGGTCCCACGCTTCGCGACGCGTCCGTCAACGGCGGCCTCCTCCTCCACTGTCGCCACCGCGCAACAAATACGGGTGGAAACGCTGACTCACAGATTGTCCCGTGCATTTCAAACATCTCATAAGGAAAGGCGACGCAAAGTAAATCGCCTTTAGGCCCGCCGAACGCAGGGGATAACGAAGGGACCGGCACGAAGCCCGCTCCAACAGTCCGCTTGCGGACGAGGCGCGGGATTCGGCGCGAAGCCGCCCAGTTGGCGCGCGCGTCCGCCGCCCCGCCCCGCCCCGCCCCGCCCCGCCCCACCCCGCCCGCAGGGCAGATGTAACGGCGCGCGGGAACCTTGGCGTTTCTTCTGGAGGCGTCTGCGAAGGGAAGGCCGACGCCTCGCGGCGCGTCTAGACGGGCGGTGTCGTCTAGACAGGCGCGGCGCGGTGCGGCGGGAGCGGCGCGGGCGGGGGAGGCGGAGCGATAGACGCGCTCGACTAGAACAACGGGGCGGGGCGACGCACACCTCAGGGACGGCCGCGCGCGCCACGCTTTCTGCTGTTGCAGCTTCCTGCGTGTTTTGTTTTGTGTCCAACACATTTGCAGAAGCTGTGCGGCAATTAGGTCATTTTTAACGAGAAAAAATATGATCGTCAGAAACAATCGAGAGCAGGTAATTTAAGACCAGTAATTAAACATCTAGTACTACTAACAATATATTTCATGTGTCATAAAATGTCAGCCTAGGTTAATTCGTTTAAGATTTAAAAAAATATAATTGTGTTGCTGTTAAAATTGATGTATTTTAATGTGAAAAGTCATTCATTTTTGGGAAATTATACACACCCAAGAAATTTGAAATCGTTTTACATATTTCAAGTGGTATCCATATAGCATGTTCAAGATTCTTCGATAACTGTTCACAAGCATTCTGTAATAGGATGGTTCTATAATGTAAATATAATAGTAATATGTAAATTCTTTATGTGATATGTAATGTTTGGAAGTGTGTAAATTCCAAGTGCTTACTTGAGATTCAGAGTGAAGGGTTTTGGTTTATATTTCGGCGTGTCGTTTTGTTCACCTTTTCGTGTGCATCTCTGCTCGAGACGTGACCTGGGATGTTCGCACATCTGAAGTCGCAGGCTCACGTGTTGTCTCATCGCCCTTCTCTTGTGATCGAAAAGAAAAGAAAGGGTGAAAATTAATAGCACGGTGAATATGTGGCCCATTGTGGGGATATTTATTCGGTATCAAGAAAGGAATTTTATCTTAATGTATTTTGGTCACCTGTGTTTTATTTCTACCGCCAAAAATGTGTACATTTCTTGATGTGAAGAACTCATAGACATTATTTGCAGTAGCCACGTACGTACTAATATCACGGTTTGCCCAACATTCATTAATCAAAAACTGGGTTGATTGTAGTTTATAAAGTGAAACCGACAACTGGTGGAGGTTATTTGCAATATTAACTGATTTTGTAAGATTAATTCAGAATAAGTTTTCATTAACTGATGGCCACTCTTTTCTTGCTTTTTTTGCTGTTGATAAAACGCGACTTACTGGTCCGACTGAATTGAAAACTTGAGACACGAAGTCGAAGTAGAAGAGGAGTCGGTATTCTAATTTTTAGTAAAAAGACACGTTACTGTATGAGATAGTCGTACATATGGTTTTCTCATTGTTCTACGGTCCCAAACCAAATTATTTCGAATTTACCAATTTATTTCAAATGTACTAACAATAAATGTCAAAATGTGTTGGTACAGAGAACACACTGGAGGTTGTATTATAATAAAAACACGTCTACTGTGTTTCTCTCTTCTAGTGATTTTCTTACCACATCTGCAAAAGAAATGTACATTTTACAACTTTTCTAACCACTCCTGCGTAAAAGACGTTTCGAAGAATAAGCATTCGCTTATATCAAATGTTGTCAATTAGGTGTGGAATGAAATAATGGATGTTGGTACGGAATGCTTGCAATACTCAAATATAGGGCTTATACCTCTATTGAAAGCTTTGGGGTGATCGTAGAAGCTCGTTCCGAAGCATTCGTCCCTGCCCGTCCTGTCCTGTCCTGCCTCCCCTCTTCCATCCCGTTGGTCGCACCGCATTGCCCAGTGCCATCCAACAACCCTCCCCGCTGCTCCTGCTCCACCGCTCTCTTTTCGTACTGCTCCGGCGCGAAGCGGGACAGCATGCAGAAATATGTTAACATAGAGCACCTTTTGAGCTTCGACAGAGTAAACTTCGCAAATGAAATGTCAAAATTTGTTTCTTTGCCTGGTGAATTTTCCTTCATTAAAGGTTCCAAATTGAATTGAGCAAAATTTGAATTATATTTCGACTATATTACTACCCTCGAGGAGTTGTGGTCAAGAAAAAACGCCATTCATATACAGTTTTTCATAAGCCTTTTAACTCGTAAATACTAATTAATGTAATAAAAGAAAACAATTTGTAGAATCTCTTCAAACAGAAAAACTTTAATAGATTGTAGGAGATTTTGCAAAGAATTATTCTAATGGAAACATGATAAAAAGATAGCCTATGGAGTTTATTTCCTACCCCATAAATGTTTGTAAACTGTACCGTTTTTATATACTGAACGCAACCAAACAAATGAACGGAAAGCTACTCTTTCGACACAGAAGTTTTACTGCTTTTGACGATAAATTATAAGTACTGGGAGAAGCGCTCAATTCTTTGCGCACTGTCCATTAATGAGATCTGTTATCACTTAAAATTACATGAGTCGTCCTGGGTCTTGAACACAATCGCACATATATAACTTTCAATATATTGTATTTAATTTTGAGTGAATAAATTCTAGTTCTGCACATTGTAAATTGTTTAAAGCGAAGAAAACTTCTTACTGGAAAGCTCTGAACTGTGATCAACCTGGTGTTACACAATAAGCATGGGTAAACTGTCTAGTATTGTTAAGAGTTCAACCTAGGCGCGTGCGATTAAATTGCATAGAACATTCGTCTTCAATTTCACTTGCACAATTTCCACGTTTCTGCACATCCCACCCCACTCCCTCGAAGAAGAACTTAATACCCAAAAATGAAATAGGTTAAAAGAGATAATTTCGTAGATTACATTATAATAAATGTACCGTCGGCCCCGTGACGCAGACGGTTGCGGCAGCCGTCGTCTGTGCCGAGGAGGCTGCAGGTTTGAGTCCTGCGTAGACATGGTCGTATTTGTGATTGTCCCTTCACCTATCATTTCATAATTCACACTTCAAGGCGTAACAACCTTGTTGTAATCCAATGATACAGCTGAAAAGCTGATCCTGGAAGAATTACACACGTTAATCGTGTAGCGTGGTCAGTTATGGCCTATACGCCAATAATGATAATAATAATAATAATAATAATAATAATAATAATAATAATAATAATAATAATAATAATAATAATAATAAATGTACCTCGAACCCCTGCTCTATAACAGCTCTATAACTGCTCTATAACAGAGCAAAAGACGCTCTATTTCGGGCTCTTCGGCAAAATCGTTTTAAAAAACCTTAATTTCATATTATATAATTAATGTTTAATAAACTTTGTTCTTTAAAAAATGAAGCTTTTCCAGGGTTTCTCGACATATCTTACTTGATTTATTCTGTCCTTCGAAGCTTTCAACACTTGAACTCTTCCACAAATTTTATGCCATTATCCTGTTAGACGTTCAACCCGTGTTTTAATCTGGATTATGATAGTATGAACAGTAACTGTACGCTATTATAGTAGAGGTGGATACCAGTAGTTTGATAAGCGCCTGTCACATAGGCAACCCATTATGCGTGGTTGTAGAGCATGTGGAGGAGGCCCCTTTCTCTTTGCAATCGTCGAGTGTCATATTTACAAGAAAATTCCCGCCGGGCGATGAACCGGAGGCATCGGTGAGCGGCGGAAGAGGGTAAGTGGGCCGCGTGGAGCTTCCCACCTCGCCCTCGTCAGGCGCAGCCCATTGTGGCTCCCGCTGCCCCGCGGACAAAACGAAAATATTTTGGGCGGCCGCCCGTCTCGCCAGCGCGAGGGTTTCGTGTACGGCCATATATCTCGACTGCCGGACGCCCTCCCCCTCGACAAAACGCGTAGCGAAAGCGACGAGAGCCCAAGGGCGGAGGGCGTCCTCGAAAGCGAGAGCCCCCGCCCCTCGTCCCTTCCCCATCCCCGTCTTCACTGCTCAAGGAAGGACGTTCTCATGGCGGCGGCGGCAGTCAATCCACAAAAGCTATTTACTCCGGACCGTCTCCCGAAGAAAGAGTGACTTCTGCAGCTAAGTTTCTGACAGGGTTTGTTGGGACTCCCGGTACGCTGAGCCTTCGTGAAACTCTTTGACTAAATTTCCTAAGAAATATCTAGAAACATTTCCCTTGTCAAATATTGTACACTTACATAAATCTTGCATCTTCACATTGCATCTTTTAACAACTGTAAGTACTGAAAATACTAGGGAACATTTTCAATTTTTATGAAAGTTTTCTCAAATTGAATTTTTGTGGACGTTTTCCTCGCAACTGATAGTACTTTATTTGATAACTGTGCCCAGAAGCTAAAAATATTTGCACTTTCAATTTCAAGGGTCACTACTGCAATGTAATTTATATGTAACTAATATATACAAAAAAGACTTCATCATTTACAAGTATTGTATACCAGAGTGTCAAGGGCAGTACGTAAATATATAATGAAATGGAAACTTATGTAATCGTCATTCGAAGTGAGCGACTGAATAATTCAAAATAAATTGTAAGACGTTGGGGGGAAATCATGTCATTATGATGTAAATATTGGTAAAAGTGGAAACTAACTCATCTAATGGCGGGTTTATATGTATATCGCTCATTACAAGGGAACGCCGAGCAAGGAAGCGTTGGCGCAGAGCCGCCGTCTGGAGAGGCCGGGCCACGGGGTGTGGTCGGCCGGAGGGTGGCGGGCGAGTAGACGGCCCGCCCGCTCACAATGGGCAGGTACTGCTAGGGCGAGGGCGGTGCACACAAACGCAAGCGGCTGTTTCGGAAGCGTTTATTGAGGCGCTGGGCGCACGACGCCCCGATCTTTTGTACAAAATGTTATGACCAACAAATACAATAGTATGTATATAATAAAAGATGTATAATAACAAATTGCAACAGTATACCCATGTACAGGCAAGGCGCAGCTCTACTCTAGGCTACTCTACATCAGACACACATTGGAGTATCAATACAGTAATAATAATTAATATAAAAAATTATATTTACAACGCGTGCGCTGGGCGCGCGCGCCAGCGCGGAGGCGGCGGAGCAGTCTTTCCAAGAGGAGGAGGCGGCCAAGCGCGGGGGCCTTGGAGAATTCTCAGCAAACGGAACCCGAACGAAACTTCTCAGTCTAAAGCATTTTGAGTCTCACGGAAGCGAAATTTGTTTCTAGACTTCCATTTTGTTTCTCCTATTTTATACAATGAGTAAAGCTCTGTTTCATTGTCGAGGGCGCTCGGGTTCCTTTTGGCTGACCGCGCTCCAAGACGCGGTTTGATATGTACAAGATGCGCGGCATTTGCCGCCAAGGCACGAGTGGGGGGAGGGAGAGGGAGAGGGAGGGATCAGGCGGCGCTGGAGGCGCGCGGCCGGAAGGCGAGCGGGTAGGTGTGCGGGGGCAGCGCGACGCACGCCGGCAGCGAGTGCGGCCGCTCCTCCTCCACCACGGACACGTCGTAGCGCTGCAGCAGGGCGCCGGCCAGCAGGAAGGTGATGCTCTGCACCAGGCGCTGGCCGATGCACGTGCGCTTGCCCGTGCTGAACGGGATGAAGAAGTCGGGCTTGACGACGCGCGTCCCGTCGGGCGACAGGAAGCGCTCGGGCTGGAAGCGCTCGGGCTCGTGCCAGTGCTGCGGGCTCGTGTTCAGCTCGTAGTTGTTGAGGAACACCACGGTGCCCTTTTCCACCGCGTAGCCTGCGCACACACAAACACACGGGCGGTCAGTCTCGCCAACACCAGCACACAAACACTACATCAATGGGGCATGGGCTTTGAGAGGGCGATACTCGTTTCCCGAGACGTGCATGTATGGCACTCCGGCTCTTTCTGAAAACTGTTCCAAGACGTATCAATATGGCGTGCGTAAAATCATGAATGAGATTCGTCTTGCGAATTGTTTCGGATGTATGTGAGGCTAACATAAATCCGTGGACGGGCACGCTTTCCACGAAGTCGCGCCGGGCGCCGGGAAAGGCCCGGCGGCGGCAGAGCGAAGGCCGCGCCCGCGCGCGTCCCCTGCCTCCCGGCATTCGAGACGGTCGTTTCGGCCGCGCGGCGCGAGCAGTCGCTTATTAAGCGAATCGCGTCGTAAGGCGAGCCCCGGGGCGGCACAAAGGACGCGTCGCGAGAGCGGCCGTGGCATTGAGCGCGAGCCCGAAAAAAAGGTGGGCGTTGGGGAGAGCAGGCGGGTGGCGCGAGGCTGAAGCCCGGGGCGTTGCAAGAGTTTAGCTGCCACTTTTGCACTGGGGCTGCGTCGCAGCCTCTTAATTACCTTCGGAGCTATGAGAATGCCTGGAGGGCCCACGACTGAAGTTTGGTTTATATTTTTGTGTGATGAAGTGAACGTCCTTAGGAAATTTATCATTTGTAAGTTTGCGGATGAAGTTTGTGAAGTAGTAAAAGGATATGGTATCGCGCCTCACCTGCGATGTCCGTGTCCTGCGTGGAGACGTGCGGCACGATGGGCGAGGAGGCGACGCGCAGCGTCTCGAGGATGGCGGCATCGGTGTAGGGCATGCGCGCGCGGTCGAAGATGGCGAGCGGTCGCGCGCCGCCGCCGGTGGCCGCGTCGGCCTCTGCGCGCACGCGCTCCAGGACGCGCGGGTCCCTGGCCGCCGCGCCCAGCAGCAGCCACGCCAGGTTGCCCACGGCCGAGTGGCCGCCCACGAAGTCCTCCAGCTCGAAGATGACGTGCTCCCAGTTGAGGTCCGGGTCGGCGTCGAGGTGGCGCAGCAGGGCCTCTGTGAAGTCGCGCGGCGGCGCGTCGCCCTCGCCCGCCATGGCCTCGCCCTCGCCCGCCATGGCCTCGCGCCGCGGCCCGATGATGTGCGCCATGATGAAGGTGCGGATCTCGCTGGCCCAGCGCTGGATCTTGCGCAGGTGCGAGCTGTACGCTGGCCGCAGCCACGGCAGGAAGTCCACGGCGTAGCCCTGGTTGATCTCCCAGAAGATCTCGTCGAAGTTGTTCACCATCTGCAAGCGAAGCGGGCCCTTGCACTCAGTTGATGCGTAGATTCAATGGGATTGGAGTGAACTTAAAAGTAAAACACTCAATCGGGGACTAATACAACTTGATTTGCTACACGCATTCAGTTCCCTAAACGCCCTAATCATGTTCATATTCTAATGTGAATTATAAAAATGGGGAAGGAATCCTGGCGTGTCAAGTATCCTCTACAAAATATAAAAATAGCAGTACGTTTGTGGCGATACTGTCGTACCGCTTCGCTGCGTTGGCGTCGTGTGTGCATGTGGTGCGCTGACTTCTGCGAGCCTCCGACGCGAGCCGCGCGGGAAGCGCTTCACATGCAGCCGAAATGATCTCGAGTGACAACTGTAGTACGACCGTAATCCGCCACAAAAATGAATGAAGTGCATCTTTACGTCTCAGCGAAAATATACCTGGCACCGTCGCGTTTAAATTCGCTCCTGCTTAAAAGCGCCTTGAAATATTTACGCTCGTATTGTTTGCTTTAAACAAAACGCTCCGCCGTGTAATGCCATTCAGAATGACCAGAATAGGTGGCGGTTAGCGGTGGGGGACAGGGGCTGAAAGCCGCGTCGGAATGCCGGCCAGCGGCCAGTCGTCCGACGGTGCCCTCCGCGGCGGCCGCTGGGCCGGGCCGGGCCGGGAACGGGGTGCAAAGGCCGCCCGCGCTTGCGCCACCGCCCGCCTGCTCACCTGCCGCCGGCATTCGGAGGCGTGAAAGGCCGAGTTCCGTTGCCCGACTCCGCTACCCCGCCCCCTCCCCCGCCCGGCCGGCTCAGCGGCCAAACTGAACGCCGTGGAATCAAACGGCGCGAATAAATCCGATGCGACCAAGTGGCGGTAATGGCGCACCTCTTCTCTACCGCGAGTTGGAATTTTAGCGGAAATTGTTTCAGCTGTTGTTTACGTTCATTTGGCGAATGAAAGATCTTTTTAACCGGGAGGAAGAATTTATTCGGAGCAAGTCAGGATTTGTCAGATGTTCGAATTCACTGGATGTCATGGCACGCGACTCCTGGTATTGACGACTAATCGTTCATCCGCCAACAAGGAAAGAGAACCGATACCTCCCAGACGGAAATAGAGATATCGGACGCGCCGTCGACTAGCGGTCACATGACGGGCGGGCGCCTTGTCGGGCATTCCGGCGAGTAGGGGAGACACTAGTGACACCATGTCCGGCTTCTTTGGGGCTTCGTAATAGATTGCAGTAAGTACCGTATTCATGAATGTGAAATTAAATAGATGCCGGGATAAATATTTGCAGTTAATAATATTAAGCCTAGTGGATTTGCCACGCAAACGTACTATTTTTATATACGCCTTGAAAAGTTTGACATTTTCTTTCCAAAACTCGTGTCGTACCGAAATTTTCTTTTCTTTTTTAAATTAAAAAAAATATTAGTGTATAATTGAAGAAAATGAGTATAAAGGCGTAACTCACGTGTTGGAAGGCGGGGTCGTCGTAGTCGAAGGTGGTGCTGCACATGTAGCCCGTGAAGATGTTTGCGCAGGCCATCTGCAGCAGGGGCTTGGCGCGCACGGCGCCGCCGCAGGGCGCGGCTGCCGCGACGCGCGCGTCGAAGGCGCGCAGCAGGCGCACGGCCTCTGCGTCGCACGCCACCGCCAGGGCGTCGAAGTGCGCGGACGCCGTGCGCGGCGAGCAGTACATGCGCGCGATGCTGCGCCGCGTCTTCTGCAGCTCCGACCAGTCGCACAGCGCCAGCGCTGCAACAGGCCAAACACCGCATGCTGAACCTCTACTCGCCAAAATGCACAAGTCATTAAGTAAAGATCACAAATCAAAAAATATGCCTATATTACGTCCCTAGGTTACCTCTCTCCCCGTCAATGATCGATACAAGTTTTTACAATCTAAAATTGTTTGCATATTAGTCATCTCCAATGGCATTAGCCCAGGATTGGAAATAAAAAGCAACGACCAAAACCAAATGGTATTTGATCATAAAACATTCATGTTTGATTAAAATGTAGGAATGTGTGTGCTGAACTTCAATTATTTATCCCAAAATAAATGTTTGTGATAGGATGGTGATAATTATTTTATATATCAGAAATTGATTTAAATCGTTTAAAGCGATACTGTGATACGAGCATTTTTATTTAAGAGATTAGAAGCCTTCAATGACTTATCAACGTGTCGCATGGAAACCATAATTCAGTTCACTGAAGTGTAGCTTCCACAGCGCATAGCTGCAGTGATATTTCCATCTACGATACCTACAAGCGGTGAAATGATAGCAGCACTTCACCGGTAGATCAGAATTTACGAGAAGATAACTAGCGCTCTACATGTATATTCGCGGAAGTTCGCTTTCTCGTAGCGGCCAGCAGTGCCGTGTTTACGAGGCAAAAGGTGGTTAAGGTGGCGGCGCGCGGGAGGCGGAGACTGGAGCGCGCGTGTGGGCCAGTAACCCGAGGCGAGGCCGGAAGCGCACGCGCCTTCCGCCGAACACAGGAGAGCTAATTTTAGAGGCGCTAGCGGCGGTAGCAGCGCTGCGCTCGCAAAAAAGCTCTCCTCTCCTCTGGGCGCCGCGGCCAAGTGCCGTTACGCGACCCGCGCCCGCGCCCGCGCCCGCGCTAGCGGCGCCCAGGAACGCCGCGGCCAGCAAAAAAGCCGCGCAGGAAGCGGCGCCCAGGAACGCCGGCGGGGGC